CAGAGCGTTCAATCAGGTAGATGGAGCATGAATTCCCAGAGGGTTATGTCCATATGTAGAACACATATGGGTTTCAGAAAAGTGAGAAAAAATTCAATCAGGAAGTAAGATCGAGCAAACAATACGAAAAACTGGTCGAAATTAGAACGCAAATTTCTGGCTCGGTATTGGAGGAATTTGGCGCCAGCAAACAGAGCTTGGCGCCAGGTTTTAGCTGTAGCACCTGGCGACAAGCCTGTCGTCTGGCGCTACAGTTAAATGTCTGGCGCCACTGCTCTGGTCGCTGACGCTAATTCCTACATGCCTCAGCAGCTTTCTATGCTCGATAAAATTTTCCAGTTTCGCGCAGTGTTCGGTCCTAGTTGTGAAAGATATTTCTCAAATTTTCTATGTGTAAAATACTATCTTTTTAACTCATTACGGATGGTCCTTCCAATGAGATCTTTTTTATGCATATGACAATAATGTTAATCAAAATTACGCACATGAAATACTTAGAACGTTTCTAGTCTCATCCACTCATTCTAAATCATTGCCGAAACAAATTCAGGAATTAAAATAAAAATCCTCCCCAGTGGAGTCGCCAAAAAACTGTAGGGAATATTTCAAGCGCTAATCCCTAGCTCGAACCCCACTGTGATCATACACTAAAGTACGGTGGCGTCCAAAATGGAAGAAGATAGACCAAAAGAGTCGCCAACAAGTTTTTTAAGGAACTTGTAAACCGTTCACAAGGTGAAGGTTACACCCCTTAACGATACAAGAGATCGTTAACTCCATAAGGTCTCGAACCAAATAGGGTTCGGGGATGAAGGTACAAATCCAAACTAAAAGAGATTGAACCTGCCCTAATAATATGCCTCTACTTTATTCTGATCGTATTCATGTGCGCTTTTTGATTAACATGCAATCAATAGGATTAACCCTAAACCTGTTTATCTATGTTGTTTGAATTTAATGCACAAATAAATCTATTATTTGAGATCACTTGAATTATAATCAGATTTATCCTAAACAAGATTATTAAATATCTTATTAAGCGTGATTACTAGTACCAATTCCCTTTAAACATGCATAAAAGGCGTGATCAAGCAATAACAATAAATATCACATTAAGCAACATAACAATAATCATCATAATCAAAATCATAACAATAATCAAAACAATAATCATCATAATAATAATTATAATAATCATAATCATAATATTCATGTTAAAGCATAATAATAATAGCAAGATCCTAGGCATGATACTAACAAGATTAATAACAAACCCTAGCATGTCACTAAGCAATAAAAATCAAATCTTTAACCCTAACATGATACTAATAATCATAAATATTAGGAAGAACATAGAAGGCATCATACTTTTAATCATACTTGATATTAAAGTTACCCTAGACATGATACTAGGAATCAAAATAACAATTTAAGCATAAACTCTATAACATAACATCAATAAAAACCATTAAAAGTACTTACTTTGATGCCTCGTATCTCTTTCTAATAACAAAATACACGCGTTAGTAACTTCAAGGAAAATAATAAACAACAATTAAATTAAATAATAATTGAAAGAGAGATTTGGGACCAAACCCTCATAAATTAAACCTTTCACGTCTAGGGCGAAGGCAACTTCGAATATGGCTAGGTGTGTCTAAGTCTAATGAATGCGGAATTTTTATATTTGAGAGAAGCTAGTTTAGAAAAGAGAGGGAGAGAGTAATCAAGGAAATCTTGATGAGAGTTGGTGAATTAGAGAGAATTGGTTATTGTTGATGATTGTAGGTGAAAACTGGTTATCGAAAATGGAGTTTTTAGCACGTTATTTATAGAGAAAATCAGCCAAAAAGATAAAATATCAAAACAGAGTTCTGGCGCACATAAAAATCGATTAGCGCCAAACGCTGGCTATTGGCGCTAGGCGCCAACATTAACGCCAAGCACCAATGCTAGCGCCAGGCGCTACAGCTGGCGTTTGGCGCTGATTCAGAAAATCACGCGTTTTCTTAAAATCAGATAAAAATTGTCGTACAGGAGGATAAAATCGTATTTTTCCTCAAAAATGCTCTTTGATTTTAATTAAAACTCTGAAAAGTCAACAAAAGTCAATTTATCAATGCTAATTGAATTAGGAATAAAAAGAACCTTCTAGAAGAATCTAGAAGACTAAAACCATTCCTAATTGCATTAGGAATGATAAATCATATTAGGCCCTCCTCTAGATCATTGGGCCGCATATAAGGCTCAAAACGGGCCCAGTTTAGTAAATTGGTCATAACTTCCTCAATATTCATCGGAATTGGGCTTATAATATATCGTTGGAAAGCTCTTGTCAAGCCCCATCCAACTACACTATTATTGGACCCGTATCGTGGACCAACCAAACTAGATTGGCTATTTTCTTAAAAATAAGTTTTCAAAAACAGAGAGAAGAGAAAAGAAATTAAAACTATCCGCAACACTAAACCTTCCACACTTTCACTTCATTCGATTATGATTCGACGTGAAAGGTACTCATCACTGGGTTTGGTTTTGGGGAGACACAAATGGGTGTCTACACTTAGGCTTACTTCGTACAATTTACAAACATTCAAGGCATTAGACATAGGATTTCACAAACAAATTATATGGGTAAATAATTTCTAAAGCAAACCATTCATATTTGCTATCAAGCATAGAGAAATAACCAAATTCATTTACGGATAGGAAAAGTAATACCAAAATCTAGCAAATATATGTACTACAAGTTCATGAAAACCATACGTTCATAAAATTAACCCCAATAATAATTCTAAATACCCTTTTAGATTCAAACTAAACAAAACTCATATTCAAAACAAAACTACTAATTAGTTATTTTCTGCATCAAATCCAACTATTCCCAATTTGTTCATTAAACTCCAAGAATAATAAAAATACAAAAATTTGGGAAACAATATAAACATATTATGTAAAGGTTTAAAATTAACAATATTAGGATAGTTGAGAATGAACTTTTCTGATATCAAAACTTTTCCCACTATAAAAACCAGCCTTATCGTCAACTTCATGTTGTCAATGTCATCTGCTAGCCTGTAACTCATGAAAACGTCAATGAAAAGAAAATAAAGTGTATCCCTTGATTAAGACTAATCTATTATATTATGGATAGATGAGAAAGATAATTCAAGATTAACAAACTAATGCAACCAAAAAATAATACGAGTAGTTCTTTGTAACCAAATTATTAATACCGTGAGATTCTTTGTACTAGTCCCAATTTAATTAATGAGGATTGGGAATGATATAACATTCTTGAAACGTGTGATTTCATTATTAAAAGATCAAAACCCATGATCAATATTAATCTCCTTCTAATTTCTTCCCAAGATGCGACACAACAAGATAATAATGAGTATAATTTAGCACATTCAGTATACAACGAATTAATCATTAACGTAAGAAATCAACAATAAAATTTACATATTGATTAGAGCTTTGGTGATGATAACGTGTTGTGAAATAAAGGGGAAAGATGAGAGATTGAGAGAGAATTAATCTATTCATGTTATTCCATATAATAGGGGTATATATATACATAGAATATTATAAGTAGGGTTTGCTTAGATAAGAGTAGACCCTAGATCTAGAATATTCTGGAAACATACAAAGAGGATAATGGATATCCACACAATATTTTCATAACAAGAATGATATAAATTGTTTTACGGCAAGAATATCCCAAAAGATCATTTTGTAATATTATAATTTCTATAAATCAAGTAGTTCAACAAAAAAAAATTATGTATATTTATGTCTAGAAAATTAATATTGATTTTGTTAGACTATAGATAGAATCTTGATATCACAATAACATGTAATTGATATATATAGGGTTGGAAAAATGAACGAGAAAAATTTTAACTATAGAGCGACAAGTGTCAAGCTACAGTTTGAGTGCCCTCTGTTTTAGTATAATTATAGAAGATTTTCATAACATTTTTATTAGAAAACTCTTTATTTCTCTTGACATATTTCAAGTCTCTTATTTTTGTCGCTTCAATTTTTCTTCCTTTTCAATTGTCATCCTCGCTATAGTAAAATTCTACATAGAAGTTAGAGAGACTTATACTTTGCTTTTTTTTTTGGAACTTAGGTTGTGATGGGAAAAAAAATTCAAAGTATTTTGTGTGAGACTGGACTCACGTGAGACCGGGCTCTTAATAAAAAAGGCGCGGGCCTGAGATACCCGACCAAAGCCCGCGCGCCAATTTATAAAATGTGTGAATTGTTTACCATTTATCATTTTCCTCAAATTTCGAGTGCCGACATTTTCTAACAAAATTGCCAACGCATTCATTCGCGAAACTAAGAATTCCTTCATTTTCTCAAACATCAGAGAATTCAAATTTTCAAATTTTTGAAAATTCAAATGAAAAAAAAGGAGAAATCAAACAACATAATGATAATTGAAGAAGAATCTGATTCACCTATATAATCAATTTCGAGCTCAATTACTGCTGAAAAAGGTACAATATATTTCAATTTAATTACATAATTTAATATCGTATTTAAATTCAGATTGCATTTAATTACTGATTGTATTTAATATTAGTTTATACTTAATTTCATATCATATTTAGTTCATAATCAATTTCGAGTTTATAAATTTTCGCAAAAAGTTAATTCAATTTTGGATGCAAATTAAATTTGCATACAATAAATTTCGAATTATAATTTGCATGTATTGTTAATTTAATTTTAGATCGTATTTAATTTTGAGTTAAATTGGTCTTATAATTTGCAACCAAGGCAAATTTATTTTCAGATCGTTGTTAATTTCAAGTTATAATTTGCAAGCAATACTAATTTAATTTCATATCGTAGTTAATTTCATTTCTATTTATAATTTGCATGCAAGGATAATTTGATTTTAGATCGTAGTTAATTCGACTTATAATTTGCATGCAAAGCTATTTTAGTTTCAAATTGTATACCTAAAGTGTTGAGCACTAATAATGAATGCAGCAGATAATGTAATTATAGAAGAGAACACCAATCAAGGAAGAGATGATGAAGAAAGAGATGAAGATGCTAGCAAATATAATAGGTACGTTTGTTTGAAAATTAATGATGTATTAAAATAATCTTAAACAATTTAATTCCTGAGAAAAATATTTTAATGCTTACAAAAATAGACTAATTCCTAGCATATATAATGTAATTCTTGACTAAAACATAGTAATTACACATAAAAATTAATTTTTAATTCAATTCGTTTCTTTGTAAATCTCATTCCTGTATCATTTAATCAAATATCTAACTATTTAATCTTATTTCTGATGAAATGAATTTCAAAACAATTTTAATTTCTGACTTAAAAATTGTAATTCCTGTGTAATAATATATAATTCCTAACTTATGTTATCTTAAAACTGACCAAAAACTATTGAATTTCTGACTAAAATATTGTAATACCTAATATAAATTATCTAATTCATGAATAAAAGATGTTAATTCATTAAATCAGTAATTTTCAAAACAAGTCTAATCCCTGACTAAAGTATATTTAAGCCTGACAAAAATATACTAATACCTGATATATAAATAATATAATTTCTCACTAAAACATAGTAATTTTCTAATTCAATTCTTGACTAAATATTGTAATGTATGACAAAAATTGTTCAACACCTGACACAAAACATCTAATTCCTGATTGAAACATACTAATTCGTGTTATTGATTAAAATTAATTCCCGATAGTTTAACTATAATTCATGTTATATAATATCTAATTTCTGACTGTATATCTTTAATTCCTTACAAACTATCTGAATTAATATATTTCTTGAGTTAAATATTCTAATTCCTGACTTAAATTTTATAATTTCTTACACCAAAAATATTTTAATTCCTGACTTTTATATAATTTATATTTACTTTTGCTGCAGATTATTACAAATATGACAAGGATGAAAACATAAGTAGATGTTTAGCAGGATATATATCCAACTACAATGATGGATATTTTGTATACAAAGCTCATTCAAGATATGTTGGTTGGCGACAGAAAATCAACAAAGAGAAGAGATAATAATGATTTACTATATGAGTTTTATTTTAGATGTTCTAAGGAAGGACAGACAAAGGGTAAAATGAAGATTGCAGGTGAACAGAATTAAGTAGAAATACCTATATTGGGTAAAACTGATGAAAGAAAGAGAAAAGAAAGGGAAGTAAATGAGACAAGAACTGGATGCAAAGCTCATATTCGTTTTAAGAAAAATGCAGAAAGTAGATTTGCTGTTCTTACACATGAGTTGGAACATAATCATGAACTGGTAATAACAGTTCAACGACATCATCTAAGATCAAAAAGGCAAATATCAGCTCCAATGGGTGAGCTAATTGAGAGCATGATTGAGAGTGGCATTAAACCAATGGATGCTTATAATTATATAAGCAATGAAGCTGGAGGAGAAGAATGTGTAGGTCATACTAAGAGAGATCACCTGAACTATGTATCAAGGGTGAAAATGAGTATGGTTGAAGGTGGAGACATGCAGAATGTATTAGACACCCTTCAAGAAAGAGCGGATCAAGATCTTTCATTCTTTTATAGACTGAAATTTGGAGAAGAAGATAATGTTGTGAGCTATTTTTGGCGTGACTCTCAAATACTTGAAGATTTCAAAGCTTATGGTGATGTTTTAATCTTCGGTACAACATACTAAACAAACAAATATGGGTTGATATGTGCTCCATTTGTTAATATAAATAAGCACTGGAGAACAACAATGTTCGGATGTGCATTCATAACTGATGAAAAGACTGCAACATTTGTTTGGCTGCTTTCAATCTTCAAAAAATCAATGTGTGGAATTGAACCAAAATCAATCTTCACTGATCAAGATCTTGCAATGAGCAACTCCATACCAGAGGTAAGCAATTTTAGCTTCATAATATTTGTATTTTATACTGTAATATGTGATTTATATTCTATAACTTAACACAGTCTAAGTAATTTTTAATGTAGCTTAATTCCTGACAAAAATAATATAATTCCTCTGAAAAATAATGCAATAACTGACTAATATATTAATAACAGTTTCAAATTTTTTAATTCTTGAATTCAAACTATTTAACCATGATGAAAGAAATCTTATTCCTGATGTTAAAGTTTTATATCCTGACAAAAGTAAACTAATACCTAAATTGAATGAAACTATCTTATTCTCATTTTAAAATGTATTTAATTATAAAAATAATTATATTCCTGACAAATATTCTTTAATTCCTGATAAATATAATTAACTCCTGCCCTACATAATCTAATACCTGAATAAAACGTTATGCCTGACTTAAATCAACCAATGCCTAAGATGAAAGAAATTATGTCAATAATTCCTGTTTAAGATAAACTTATTTCTGAGTTAAAAATGTTAAATCCAAAACTAACTATTCACAACCAATCTAATTAAACTCTAAAACTATTTAAATCCTAACTAAAATATAGTAATATCTGACAAGAATTATCTAATATCTGACTATAATGTACGAATGACTGAATTAAATATTATAATTCCTAACACAAATACAACAAAAATAATTTCTGACAAATATGATTTAATTCCTGCCCTAAATAATCTAATACCTGACTAAAAGAAAAAATAATCCTGAAAGAAATAATATTATTCCTGATTAAAAATATATATTTAGTTACAAAAATAAATTAATTTCTGGTTAAATTAGTATAATTCTATACTAAAATGTAAATATTCCTGATGAAATTAATCTAATTTCTAACTTAAAGAATTTTATTCCTGATTGAGGTAAAATAGTCCAATTATTCAGGAGTGTTTTTTCATTCACCAACATTATGCACAAAAAAGAATAAACAATTAAAACATAAAGAATATAAACCAAAACAAAAACAAAAAATTAAGTCCAAATTAGTATTTAAATTTCTTCATTTTATTAATAATTGGCAATTAAGTACATAATACTTTGTCATACTAGTGACAATGCCTTACAAAAGCAAATGAACACTGTCACACTAAACTATGACAAGAGCAAAAAAAATTCATTCTTTACTACTCTAGCCTAATCTTCTCTGCAGGTTGAATAACTTCTTCCCTCTTCCTTTTCTTAGTCCACGTATCTTCCTCATCCCTAAATAGCCATCGTAAACCATCCAGAAACTCAGTCCAATCCTGAACCATTGAATTATGAAAGCCATACCCATTATGCCTCATAATATAAGTTGCAATCCACCACCTTTCACTGTCCTGTCTAGCTCTAACAACATGAGGAATCCAGGTATTCAAATACCACATATCATTCCAATGCCTACAAATGCAATTACACATTGCTTGGGCTCGAGGGGTGCACTTAGGAAAGATATACATGCATAGATTTCAAGAATAGATAAAGCATGTGGGGCATCCTCTAGAGCAGCCATGTAGTGAGGGTAGTCTTCTAGATCCATTTACACTAACAAAACACCCAATAATCATAGTGTTAACACAACCACAAATTAAAATATTTCAAACTAAAAAATACTCTGTTTTAAAAAATAATAGCAATGAACATCAACCAATTATAAGCATCAAATTACTTGAGTAACAAAGCCGAAAATTCAAATCAGAACTAACAAAATACATAAATTCCACACATTATAACACATTATATACATCTACAAAAAAAAACTGATGATCAACATAGAATTCTAAATCCTACAATATCAATAATATTTTCAACTTAATTTCAATATTAAAACAATAAAAATAATAAATAAAACAATGTACCTTGCAATTAATTTGAATCCGAATAAAAGTTGAATAAAACTACTAAATCTCCTTTGTTGAAGCTCTGGAAATGGATGGGTTTTTTAAGGAACAGAAGAGAAATATGAAAGGGTGTATAGATTTTTTTGAGAATATGATTTTTTTTAATACTTTACTCAAATCAGTTATTATTGCGCGTCTTCTCAAGTAATTTTATTCTAAATCAATCAATTCATCATTTCCTGGCTTTTAATTTGTCCACGTATTATAATTAGCCCTAATATAAAATATTGTTATATAAGGAATTTAGTGTAATCTAATTTCTGACAAATATAAACCATTATATGAAAATTTAAATCTAATTCCTGACTAAAATATACTAATTTTTGACCAAAAAGTATTATAGCCTGATTATTATAATTTAATTCCTGAAAAAAAAAAAGACAATACATGACTAAAATATTAAAATTCATAAATCAAACATACCAAGTTAAACTTAAAATAATATGCAATAACAAAACAAAATAAAATCAAAGTACAATACTAAATAAATACTCAGCAATATATAGGCTACAGATTTCATATATTTCGTAAAATGTAATATATAAAAAAATATACTCATAATATATTTTGGATTTTTTGACGTTTACCAAAAAAAAATCACGAAATTGTTTTTTACTACCAAAAATTTTAAAAGTTGTATTTTACCACCAAAAAAATTTCTAAAAATTGTTTTTTACCACCTACCGTCAAGAAAACCGTTATTTAACGATTTAAAGAAAAACTCTTCGATTTTCGTGTGCAAAACATGTTGTTCATAGGTTTAGAGGGACATTTTGGTCCTACGCGTTCAATTTGAAGTCAGAATTGACAAAAAATGATCAAAAATGCCTCGTTTTGCGTGTTTCACGCAAACCGAGGTATTTTTAAACGCATAAAAAGAAGCATTTTCGATAATTTTTTGTCGATTCCAACCTCAAATTAGATCCGTAGATCCAAAATGCCCCTAAAACCCCTAAATATGATGTGTTTGGCACAAAAATCGAAGAATTTAAAATATTTCGTTAGGTTTTTTACAGCAAGTGGTATAAAACAATTTTTATTTTATTTTTTTGGTGGTAAAATAAAACTTTTAAAATATTTGATAGTAAAAAACAATTTCGCGATTTTTTCGGTGGTAAAAGTAAAAAAAATCCATATATTTTTGAAATTTCAATTTTTACATATAATTTTTTTCATATATTAAAATGATATTGATTGAGGTTAATCCTTAAGAGAGAGAGAGAGAAGAAAAAAAAAACAAAAAAAAAAAAAAGAAAAAAACCTAGAATCTTAATCTTCTTCTTGAGATTTTAAACTTGTTTTTTCTTTTGATCTTCTTTTTCTTCTTCCTGATCCTTCTTTTGTTGATCGTCCTTTTTCTTTTTTTTGTTTTGTTCTTCCTGGAATTTTTCTTCCTCCCTCTTTTTCTTCCTCGGTTCTTCGATTTTATTCTTTTTAACTTTTTCATACAGCTTCATCAACCCATCCTTCACTCTATCTCTTCTCTCGAATAGAATATTTAATCTCTTTTCAAATTTGTCAAAAACATTTTCCTCTGGATCGTTTGATGAAGTAGATGACTACGAATTGTTTTCCATAATTGAGCAATAAAGAAAAAGAGTTTGTTTTAGGAGAGAGAATATACGGGAACAGAAACATGCAAAATGTATGAGCAAATCATGGTTTTATAGACAAATAAAAAAGATTAAAAAAATACTTTTAAAATAATTTTTTATTTCTTATTCTTACATTTTTGTCATCTTTATCCAAAAGTCTAGGTAAATATCTTTATCTAAATCACAAAGTACTGAGATCCACTCTAAGTAAATCAAATAGTATTAAATTTTTTTATGCTTGATAAACATACACCAATACCTGATATAAGTTATCTAATATCTGACAAAAATGTGCTAATTTTTGTCTTTTAGATTGTTATTCCTGAATAAAATGCACCAATACCTAAGATGAATTATCTAAGATCTGACTAAACCATTCTAATTCCTGACTAATAATATTTAATTCCTGATTATATTGATCTTATTTTTGTCTTAAACTTGGTAATTTCTGACTTTTATTATGGTAAAACATAACAATTGTTGATTAATATTATCTTATTCCTTACCTTCATTATGTTAAACCTGATTAAAAAAACTATTTAATTCCTGACCTATATAATGTTAAACTTAAAAATGTTAATTGAAAAACTCTAACTCTTAGACTTTTTGTTATGCCTGACAAAAATAGGTTAATAACTGACATGAGTTATCTAATATCTGACTGAGACTCTTTAATTCCTGACTAATATATTGTTATGCTTGACTAAAATAGATTAATAACTGACGTGAGTTATCTAATATCTGACCGTGACTCTTTAATTGCTGACTAAAATATTGTTATGCCTGACAAAAATAGATTAATTACTGACATAAGTTATCTAATATCATGACTAAAACATGCTAATTCCTAATGATAAATATCATATAATTCCTGATTATAATAATCATATTTCTGATTTTAAAATTTTAAAAACTAAAGAAAATAATCAATTGTTCTATCATTGTTGCAAGTGTATCCAAATTCAAGACATAGACTGTGTCTATGGCATTTACAAAAGAATTTTGTATCATACTTTGGAACTCTAAAAAACAATCCTAAATTCAAGAATATGTTTCACAAGTGCTTAAGTGGTTGTGATTCAGAATCTGAATTTGAAGATGTTTGGAACAAGATGGTTCAAAAGCATGGATTAGAAAAAAAAGTGGTTTGATAGGTTATTCGGGCTACGAGAATAATGGTGCACAACATTGAGCAAGGATATTTTCTCTGTTGGAATTCTTTCATCTTAAAGTGTAGAAGTAACAAAAAGAGCAATTTCATTTAAGGCCAGCAGAACCACTAAACTTTTG